ATGTGATCGATCTTGTTCATCATATACATTAGAGCATATGCTCATATGCATTTATGTAAATAATGTTGTTTAGAATAACATGCACTCCATCGTGTTGAATGTACCACCAGGTCTACCATTTTCAGTTATGCCCTGTAAAATAACCTTTGAATGCATTCAATATTTCAGGAAATTTTGCTTATTTTACATTTGTCTGTTTAATCGTGAATGGAATATTCAGAGGTGTCGGCTTCAGATAAAACTGAGCAAAGCCTTAGAAAATATGCCTCCAGGATGCCAGTAGTACAGCATCTGAAACAATACAAAAATCCTTTCTCTACGGATTGCCTTTGTCTTTGTGTCCCACCAATCCCTAGGTATGCTCAGAGTGAGACTCACCTATTTTCTCAGAAAAGTTATTTCATAGTAGTCCAAAGTTTCCTATGGAGTTTGGCTCTGTGGTGCTGACTTTGAACAACATTAATGAATAACAGAGTCAGTGAAATATCAGACTATGAAATGAACTGCAATGGTACTGATCTGGGTTTCTTTCAGTATAATTTGCTACGCATATTTGTAGGACAATGGAAAGGATTCGTTGAAATAGTTTTCCAATGGAATGTTGATTTATAATACAGGCAATTTGTAGCTTGTCTCGCAGGCTTCAGTGGTGCACTTGTATGGTAGGATTTATCTTGATGTAACATCGTCATATCCAGTGATTCTGTTTAACTGTTTGATATGTTTTAACTGCCTATTATTGATTTGAAGTGCAAACTGATGTGATGAATCGTGTTGAATAACTGAATATGATATAATGTGTAACCATAGTGTATTTTGTCCATATTTGCAGCTGTAGATCGACTTTCTAGCCTGGTTATGTCTTCTGGCTGTGAGGTCTCGTCTAAAATGGAGACACCTAGACCTCCAGAAGAAAGGAATCATATGGACAAAATTATTGTTGCAGCCCAAGAAAGCCTTTCATCAGAAACAAATGCGAAACAGGCATTAGCAATCCACAGCAACAGCATTCCCATCACTAATATTGATGATGTCATAACTGAACTGAACTCAGCAGAAAGCAAAGAAAAAGACAGAAGTGTCTTGGATTCCACAGATGCAAGTGCAAAAACAGAAGAGTGCAGTCAAGTAGATGACAGAGGAACTGCAGCACAATTGCAACCTAACCTTCTGGATTTCTCTGCCCTAGATGTGGGGAACAGCGCTTGCCATTTTCCTGTAGG